AATTTTTTATTTTTTATTCAACGTGTGAATAATGTGCAATGAGATAATATTCCAATGTTTTTATAAGAATTGCATAAACGATGAATCAATAAACATCATTTTTTTCAAAACAAAATTTATTATATTTGTCAATTGTAAATATTGATCGTTCAATTATTAATTAATTGTTTTTTTTTTTTTTTTGATTTAATTGAAGTTCTATTTGATACATATGACTCATGGATATGCGTCATATTTCAAGTGAATATTGTTAATGATCATTGACGTAAATCTGAAGATTTAAATATTGATTTCACGGAAAAGAGAATTTTAATTTTGATTAAGTTTATTCCATTGTTTTAATTAATTTATTTTTAACACAATAATTGTAACCGTAAATGATTGAATAAAAATTAATGAATATTCGTAATCAAATATTATAAATATTTTCTATGATATTATGGACAATATTAATTACTATATTGAGTGTCTCGCATAACACGATTCATTATTTTGTAAAAAAAAAAGAAAAAATATTTTAAACTGTGCATTAATAACGTCGAAAAACTAATCGAAATTTTAAAAACTTTCAGATTTATGTAAATGATCAAATTAATTGTTACATTATATTTAAAAAAAAAAGCAAAATATTAATCGACTAAATTATATACAAGAGAAAGTAAAAATGATGGAAATAAATAAAAGGCAATGAAATTTTACCTTTTTTTACTTACATTATCGAAAGGGCAAATTAGTGATTCATGCATTATTATGAAAGAGTTTACAAATAGTTAGAAAGATCAAATCATGAGATACGTAACTTCATCGACAAGCATTCAAGTGAAACCAGTGGCACAGGTTTAGCTTACAATAGAATTAATGAATATACAAGGTCGAATGCATTCTGCACATAGGGTAACATTATCGTGTAATAAATATTTTCAGAAAAAAAAATTCGATATTTCACAAATAAGTATTACGTAGAAAAATAAAATTTCAATTCTTGATATCATCGTTGATTAACAAGTAATTAATAAATTTAATACTCAATAATTATTCTTCACGAATTATTAAACATTCGATTAATATCATTGAGCTATTATAATAATAATTTTTAAGAATTAGAATTATTCTTATATACTATTGGACAATATAATTATTTAATTTGATCAATATTATTGAAACATAAATAACAATAGTAATTTTTTCATATTTTTGACAGAACATTCCCCAATTATAAAATTATTCTCTTTAATCAATATTAAATCGATCATAATTACATATTTTTAATTTATTATTATTCAATATTAACTTGTATACTGATTCACTACAAATTAATCAAAATATCTGGATATTTATGAATAAATCGTGTAATATCACATTGTATACTTTTTTAACGATTAAATAACATACACTATAATATATAATATAATATATACTATTATTTGTTAATTCAATCAATGATTAATCACTTATTTCTCAACCTGACTTTAATATAAAAATCAATAGAAATAAATAATATTATATATATAATATTACTCACAGTTCAACAATAGTAATCGAAAGAAATAAAAATCACAGATTTTATCAATTTATCACGAAAGCACTATCATAAACTAGATATATCGTGATTAATTACCAACAATTACCAACCAGACCTGTGACACTTATGAAAACAGACAGATGTAGCAGATAGAGGAAGTGAGTTACCGTGGCACGTGACTGAACCCAAAAAGACGCTCGAGACACTTTTTCCTCCCCCCCTTTTCTTTTTCTTTTAGAAAGCGTGATGACACCAAGCAAGATCTCTTCTCCTTGCCTCCGCTCCCGTGTGAATATCCTTTTCACTTTAATTTAATAATTTCAATTCGGCCCGATTCTCAACGCGATTTTTCTCTGATGAATATTATTGTAAACAAATAAAAGAAAAAGAGACGAAGAGGGAATAATTTCCTTCTCCAATGCGACTTCTTCTTCCTTTCTTCCCGAATTTTGTCAAAATTTTCAAAATCCGAAATTTTGTCAAAATTTTCGAGACACGCGCACGTGGATCTCAAGAAGCGATCGATTCTCGCCAGCTAGCCTCGATCTCATCTTCGAAGGCGGCGAAGGTGCAAACTGAACTGATACGCAGACACGTGGAACACTATTTTGCCCGAGTCCCACTCCCTCCGCTTTTATAAACTGAGACGACACGCTCGAACGCTGTTAATTACTTTATCCACGATCCTCCGCGGATAAGAGCGATCTTTTTTCCGCAATTGACACGGAGTTAAATTAGGTTAGGTCCGTGAACAAGAGTTCGTGAAGCATAATGCGGTCGTTGGTGGTGGTAATCAATCAGTTTTGTTGAACAGCGTTCCTTTGAATATTATTTATCGCATAGATGTCGATAATTTATTGTCAAATTTATATTATTTACGAATGGGAATGGCATTCCACATTTTACAAATCTTTTGAAATTATTTAAAAGTTGAAAATGTATCGTTGAATAATTTTAAAGCTTCGAATTGGATAAGTTTGAGTATTGCCTTATTAATTATGAAGGAAAAGAAATTGTAATGAATTATATCTGTGGCATATTTTTTTTTTTAAATTGATAAATATAATTATAAAACAATTATAAGGAAAGAATTAGTAGGAATTGAATCGAATTTCTTCGAACTTTAATCAATTTTATTTTATTTTATTAATTCGATCATTCTAAGTTTATAAATCATTCAACAATTTAATATAATGATAAAAATATTGGATAAAATTGGATAATACATTGCATTACATCATTATTTTCATATATTATTTGAACAAAGAAAATATTGGTTTAAGAAAAAAATCTTTAGATTTTTGCAGTCAACTTCGAAAACTTAATCATTCTTTCCATGAATAATTGTAAATAATTTTGTTTCTATATTTATAAACATTATGAAATCGAGGGAATCGAGGAATTAAAGAAAATTGCATAGAATTAATTTGTGATAGAATTTAATTTTAACATTTCTAAAATAATAATTTATATATAATTCCTACATAATTATTATACTAAATTACATGTCTCATTATCATTCATCTACTGTTTCCCTTCGTTGAAATTATTTCTTACAAGAAAAAGTTCCAACATTTACATCATACATCGCGATATTTTGATTATCGTTAATTAATTATTTAGCTAAAAAATTTCCCCAAATCTCAATCTCTCTGAAAGCAACCCCCTCAATAACAACCACACCATTCTAATCGATCCAGTTAACCGAGAAGCAACGCACGTTTTCATTTAAAAAGCAAGCGCCGAACAAATGATTCCATCCGAGCAAAAGATATTAAACATCGAGCACCGGCCTCCCTATGAAATAGGGGAGCCGAGATCGCCGAATATATAACGTGGACCGTTGTTACACGTTTCCCGTTGTTGATTGATTTCACCTCGTTTCCGTTTCATTTCTATCGTCATTGTACCCCGAACAATGGAAACAACAGGCCGGTCTCACTGTCATTTTAATTGGATTAATATTCCCATTATGGCGG